CAGTGTATACTCGATACAGTATTCATTATGTCATGGCATTTCGTTAGGAGTGCAAAAACACACGCTGTGATTTGTTAGCTTGCTACATTGCTACCAAGAAAAATGCAATTTTTTGTTACATTCACGATTAACTACCTATTTTAATACAAGTGAGAAAACTCCACAACTGTGTATGTATATCACATTTTCCCACTGGAATCACTGCAGCTATTAAAATGTGGCAGCACATTTATTATTTGGTCCTGGTGGTGCAAGTGTCAGCACAGAGCAAACAACATCACACATTTTCATGATACGTTGAGTAAACTTTCACGATATTTCGCTCACGACAACGGGCAACTTGCATGCGCATCATCATCATCCACGATTAGTCCACTGGTGGAGGAAAGACTCTCCAAGCTGTCACCATCTTATCACGAAACTGCGACGGGACAATCCACCCAGCAACTGCACACGCGCTTATTTTATCGCTCCATCTCCTCGGCGGACGTGATTTTCCGAAGCATTATAGTCTTAGGTTGCGGCTCCATCATTAGCATTGACCATTGGCCAATTTCATGCTAATTGGGGGATATTAGAATTTTTTTTTTTGGCAATGGCACTTTTAATGAGTGCATGCATATTATGAAAAATATATATCAGCATATATTACTCTACATGTGTATTTAATTATAAAAGAACACGAGTCATTCATATCCACATAATGGGAATACATTCTAGAAAATTCGAATGTGGTGTATTATCATCACCAGGAAAATATGCAAATACGTCTTTTTCAAACACATGCCATTATTTTCACAGTATATTTCGAACGTATGCACGCGTGCGATTATTATCAGAATCACCTAATAAATATCACTAGTCTTTTAGGGATGCAGCGTGACACAGTGATGTCCTTTGAAATTGACTCGGCCGACTTAAAAATGCAAGCTTCGGAATTTTGAACTTTTGATTTGTCCTCTCGTGTATAATGTTAACAAATCACATCGCCCCCCCCAACCCTCCACCCCGTCCCCGTGAAAAGGAGCGCACACAACAATGTAGCATGATTAACCCAGCTTAAGAGCATTTCTCTGCAATCTTGCACAATTCACAAGTCTTGCATTTTTTTCATTTGCAGCATTAAGGATTTTTTTTTCTGCTCATGTTTCTCTACACAGCGCCGTCTTCCAGCTAATCAGCATTATACCTCGTGATAGAAATTAATTTGTTGAAGGTGCAGTATTTTCAGATATACCATTCGTTTTTATATCTTAAACAAATGAAATAAATCCAAATTCAAAATAACTATTAAAATTCAATGCTCGCATGGCCTCTCCTGCTACTCGCTTGCAAAAGGGCATCAAATGAAAACCTGTCTTCTTGTTTGTCCCCAGTGACTTAGATCTCCCTTTGACATTGTACAAAATGCACAGGATGCGTGCTGCTCAGACATACAGTCACAACTTTCTCTGTTCCACTCGCGGCACTGACCACAAAATCAGTGCGGAGTTGAGCAATCAGGCAGAAAAAAAAGCATTAGCTCTGTACCTTGGCACAAGCCAAGGTGTCACAGGAATCACCACTGCATGTTAATGGAAATGCATTCTGCTCAAGCCATTATCATTGCCAATGAAATAATTTATGCATAAAGGTCCGTACATACGCAGACTGTGCATAAAAATAAAACATTGACCAATAGATACAGGCTTAAAGTACATAACCACAGTCACCTTTTATCGAAGATTCAGCAATGCACAAGAGTGGGCAGTAATGATGCAGCGGTTAGCAAACTGCGCGGTAAGCACAGCAACCCGAGTTCGATTCCTGGCCAAGGCAAGTGCCAGTGGCGAATGATGCCTGAACCGAACCTGGGCCTGAGCTCACTTCGCAAACCCGCACCGACCAACACGAAGCACGTTCAGATAACAATCCCCACGACTTATATGAGATGGAGGGGGGTCTTGACCCATCAGTGGATTGGCAAAGTTGTGTAAATGTATTATTAATGTTAACTTAATATACGACGAGCTGATGCTGTGAACAATGACCCCTTAATAAGTCAAAGAAATGGAAAGCCTCTGGCTGGCGGGGAGCATCATGGACATGGAGCTCTATCAGCGTCACAGAGTGTGACAGTGGGGACTATCACCTCTGGATGACCGTGAACTCTTGTCAGCGGAAGAAAATGAAACAAGCAATTACGCATTGCATGTGCGCACAAGGCAGGCAATAACTTTTCGGAAAACGGGCCGATCAATATTTTTCATCATTGGGCTCCCGGTACAAGAAGACAAACTTTTAACAGGTGCTAAAATAAACGACTTAAAATGCCTCAACTTAGTAGATTGTAGGGACTTAACTAAATTGCATTTAACTTACGTTCTGTCAGTTTATTTTTTTGCATGTTTATTTTACATTGATTTAAAAACCCGGAGACACTTGCAGACCTCAGTCGTCCATCTGCTCGGAAAGTGTGTAAGACGCCCAGCATTGTAGAGAACTACTCCATACCCGGTAGCCTTGAATCGAAAACAAAAAAAGTTTGCCCACACACACTGTGTCAAAATGATTCATGTCTAGCCATTCGTCAATCTGCAGTGGTAGTCGTCAGTTCCCACAGTTGTACAGACAGTGGAAGGAAGGGGGCTTTAGCTGCAAGGTTATGGTGGAATTAAGTGCCGTGTTTTGTCAACAGCATCGCCCATCCATTATCAACATTGACAGGAACTACAATACACTAAATAGCAATGTGGGTATGCATAGGCAACAGTAGGTGGCAATAAGATGCGCCTTCCTCGACAACAGGAAGCCGCGCACGTGCAATTCACATTTCACAATGCATTATATTGTCTCAAGAATAGCAGTGTAATTCGTGCACTTGTTTAGAAACGAGCGGATCGAATGATGAGGGCTGCTTAATTATGTCAACGATTGAACTCCTGCAGCACTCAATGATGTGATAATATTCCCGTGTAGATCTCCCCACGGCACGGGCGAATTTAAAATAGCAGTTCTCCTCAGCAACTATTGAAGCGGTGAGTGGATTGCAGAAAAACAGCTCCAATCATTATTATTATTATTTTATTTGACGGCGTGCGAGGCAAGACTTCTAAGCATTGCCTGCGCAGTTAATGGCTTTGATCATAAAGGGATAAACCAAAGGCGAGGCATAAAGTATTCATGTTAATACGGCACTTTAACAAATGCTTAAGGGGGTATGTGTGGCAATGGGACGCCGCCGAGACTTCACGACTGCCGTCGGCTCGGAGCCAAGTCCTAACGAGCAGAATCTTAAGATGCCATGCCAGGTCGCACCGCAGTCGGACGGATGCTTCTAAAGGTACGCGTGCCTGTCGCTCAAAACCCTTCCCGACGTTCCCGTCACTTGCCCCCCCCCCCCCCCGTCTTGCAGCTCCGTTCCAATTCGCTTTGCCTCGATTTTTTAACTATGCAAGTGCCGGTGTCTCTAACTTGTGTGCCGATGCGAAGCCTCCTTGCATGCCATACGCGCTGCCACGGAGTTAGTCGTCGTAGTTGGTATCCTGCACAACGGGATTTGCACTTCGCGTGCAGTCTGGCTTATTCAGGCCAGCCGCCTTGACGTTTTAACCAGACGACCAATTTCTCCCAACTATGGCAATGCGTCACTGTGAGTGATGCATTCTCTGATGTATAATAGTGCTGTGTGGAGTAGTGACAATGACATTTTGACGTCTTTGTGACCGTTACCTTCACACACTGGGGTGTCTACAGCAGGGTTTTTATTTTCAACAGGAAGTTAGCTAAATTCAATTTCGAAAATGAGGACAATGACAAATGGATACCGACGATGATTACCCCATTCATCAAAAGACTGTCACAGGACGATTGAAAGCTATTAGCGAGCACCTGTTAAGATACCAAATGAACACACACACGTGTACACACACACACACGTGTACCACGTGTACCACGTGTGTGTGTGTGTGCGGGCGGGCGGGCGCACGGCTAAGATAAATTAGACACGAGCACAATTAAAGACGGAACAGTTGATCCACATTTAATCACAGAAGCTTACCCATCGACTGAATATTAAACAAACCCTAAGATACTTGTATAAAGCACTGTGTGTGTGTGTATACACGAGCACATTCTAAAACGACGGATGCTGTAGCAGCCTGGCCACTATGTATTGCTCACATTATCGAATCTGAATTGTTTCTTTTCAACGTGCTAAGAAGGTTACGCGAATCGCCGTTGCGTCTAATTGGGCTTTTTCAATTAAACTAGCAAAAGTAAAGTGCGCGTGTGTGTGTGTGTGCGTGCGTGTTACACGGCATTACCGAGACAGTTAACAAGAAGCCAGTCGCAGTCGTCGGGACTGCGTTTGAACGACCACTCGAGACCCGCGTCCCAACACACATGAAACAATTTCGCACCGTTACACTTCATATTTTAGAGACTGCACAGCGAATCCAAACATACACACAGCACAGCAGTAGTTTGTGATTTCACACAGAGCTACTCGTTGCGTCATTGGCAGTGCGTTTACAGATCAAATGGATGTGAAGCGCTCCGTGCCTTGCAGGCAGTAAACAGACGGACACCACGATCACGCTACAGATGCATCACGACGAAGGCAGCAGTGGTGGTGGGTAGGTAGGTTTGTAACGTCGCGTACCGGTCAACAACCTCACCCCCCCACCCCCCCCCGTGTCGAGCTTCAACGTTGCAGACACCGCACACGGCAGCAGGAGTGACTAGTCAGGGTTCATCACGCAATTTCTAGCAGCAGCAGCAGCAGTTAAAAAAAAACGACGCAGTGTGTAAGAGTAAGAGAGAAGACTTCACCAACCGCATCTCCCCCAAAAAATAAACATCTCAATTGAGAGGAGGAAGGGGAGGGAGGGTGGGTGGGTGGGTGTGGGAGGGGGGGAGTATACATAACGAGCAAGTCAAGAAAGAAGAACGTGAAAAAAGGACACCGCTCGTCAAAAGGAGGGTGCCATTCGGGGTGCAGGTTTTGCCTTTTTACTCACCGCCTTCACAAGAAGCGGGACAACAATCCGGCTGCTGCTGCTGCTGCTGGTGGTGCTGGTGTTGGAAGGAAGGGAGATAAAGAGCGAGAAGAGAGATGAGAGAGAAGACGACAGTCGATAACGCCGCTTGACGGCAACACCAGCGGAGCCCGGCGCAAGAGGCGGCTGCAGCGCTGGAGAGCGGCCGCGCTGTCTACGCTGCAGCTGCGGGGCGCGCTTCGCCGAGACGGGAGCGAGGGAGGGGGAGGGGAGGGATGGGGGCGGAGCTACACGGCTCTCTCCCCCTTGTGACGTCACGCAGGGAAATTGAACACGGGGCCGTGCGTGGCAGCGTGCCCCGTTGTGTGCGCGTGCGTGTAGATGTGTGTGTGTGTGTTTGTGTAGTTTAGTGGGCAAAGTCCCATCAGTGAGCTCCTCCGGCAGGCAAGGCTGCGTTGGCTGGGTCATGTAGCCCGCATGCCCAGCCACCGCATGCCTAAACAGCTTTTGTTCGGCCGGATCGAGGGGGCTAGACGGGCGCGGCACGGGCTAGAGAAGAGATGGAGTGATGTGGTACAGGAGGACGTGGAGCTGAGTGGACTTGCCGATGACTGGTACCAGCGGTGTCAAGATCGGCCTCATTGGAGGAGGCTCGTGAAGGACGCTACTGGGCAGTTGGAGGCAGTCGCCCTCCAACAACAACGGAGGGCGGAGGAGCGACGCTCACAACAACGAGCGGAGCGCCGGGTGGCTAAAGCACAGCAAGTTGGCACAGTAGGGGGCACAGGTGGTGCATCAGCCAGTCATCTCGGTCATCTCGGTCAGTCGACCCGTGGCACCTGCTGGGTCTGCCCCGTGACCTCCTGCCAGCGGGCGTTCGACATTTCACGTGGTAGCCTCAAGGTGCACTTGGCCTGGCACAAGCGTCGTGGTGACGTCACCGCCACTTAGTGGCGAATGGCGGTTGTTGTTGTTGTTGTGTTTGTGTGTGTGTGTAGATGTGTGTGTGTGTGTCTCTGTGTAGTGTGGCGGTTAGCTCGCTGCGCTATAAACCCGGCGACCCGAGTTCGCTTCTCGCTCACGTGACAACTATTTAAACCTGTCCTGGGCCTCCCCTAGGTCGACTCAGACACAAATGAGTATCTGGTGCGGTGTGTAAACATCGCCACTGGGGATACAAAGGCGGCCAGGAGTGGTGTTGGCCACCCACCCCCTCGTGTGCTGTGCCAGCTTTTATAGGTCCTCGCTAACAGCACTTGCCCCTGCAGTCTGATAAGGCTATATGGGGGATCTTTGTATGCGTGTGTATGTCTTGTGTGTGTGTGCCCCAACAGTCTGTTGAGGCTATACGAGGGATATTTATCTTTGTATATAGAGTGTGATCGGCCACTCAGCGTAAAGAGTAAAGAATGCACTCTTCAGAAACGCCTGTCGTGTAGATGTAGTGTTGCAAACGTGTGCACATTGTACACAACGCATGTGATGTAACCTGCACGTGCATGCATCGTAGCCATTGAGAATGACTGGCAGGTGCGGGCTGTATGGCGCGTGGGAGATCAATGTAAACAGTAAATGCTGAACACTGCAATACACATACCTTGTAAATACGTGTGTAGTGACATGGAATGGGTCACTACGTAGCATAGCGCGGGTTGCTGGCAGAGAAGGGCATCTGCAGTTGCAGCAGTCCTGTCTGTCAGAAGGTCACGTGACAAGTCAGAGAGAGGGGTGTTGGGGAGAGGTGGGGGAAGGGGCACGTGGGGGAAGCCCGGGAACCCGCTAGTAGGTTCTAGAAGGGGGGCGTGGCCGGGACGGAGCGAGGCCACGTTGGTAAGATAAAAGAGGGCCCCAAGTGGGAACTCGGGGCTGTCGTTTGGAGTTTGGCCGATCACACTCTATATATGTAACACGAAGATAAATATCCCTCGTATAGCCTCAACAGACTGTTAGGGCACACACAGACGCACGCACAGACACACAAGACATACACACGCATACAAGTGCTGTTAGCGAGGACCTATGAAAGCTGGGATCCCCTCGTCGTGCTGCTGGAGTCTTCGCCTGCTCTGCGTCGTCAGTCAGGCAGTCTGCCGGCTGTCCTGACTGGGAGCTGTAGTTACCTCTTGTGAGCTGTGAAGGCTGTTAATAAATAGAGTGCCTCCTACTCCTAGTGTCTCTGAGTTCGTCACGACACATATGTTACGTATGCATGTTGAACTTATTTCGCACCGTACGTAGCCAAACGCGTTAATCGGAGGTGCGGGGGAAGGACAACAAACTAAACACAAAAAGCAGTTCTCAAAAAAAAGAATTTTCAATCTCGATTTTAAAGTGGCTTCTAATATCGGAAGGAAGATTGTTCCAGACGGCCACAGAAGCGCATTGTGAGAAAAACATGGACCGTGTACTACAATATCTGCATGCATGATTGCGACATACGCACGAATAACCACGTGACTATGACACACACACGCCCATACATGCAAAATTGTATGCCTTGTGAATTGATCTGTAAGTGCAAAGCTATAGAATAACCAGCATCTACTGCAAAGAGGAAATTATCTCTACTGAAATTGCATGCGTTTTGTATGTTACTGCATTGTTATGTAAATATGCGAAAAAAAATAGCTCCATGTATGAATATGATGACATACACGTGTAGCGTGCAGACTACGTAGAGCTTGGGGTAAGCTCGGGTGCGGAGATGTACATACACCTGAGCTGTATGTATATGCACGTCGTGTTTCTTTCACACCGTACATAGCCAACCGTGCTTATCGGAGGTGCGGGGGAAGGACAACAAACGAATTCTGTGCAAGTGAGTTTTCGTGCAGAACTAAAGAGATTTTGGGTATGCAAAAGACAAAATCAAAATCGCCTGGAATGTGTGCACGATCTCATCAAATATCCGGGATAACCGAAGCGAATTTTAAACCTGGACAAGTGCTTGGATGGGCGAATGCACTACGCATAACAGGTGGCATAGACTTCTGAGCCGCGCTGTCGGCAGTACAGAGCAGAGCAGCAAATTCCATTGTTGTATTGTACACTCTAAGCTCCCACGTCACCATTCCCTGCATTCACCAAGTCCACACTCATGATCAGTGTGGGGAAGTATGGTCATGCAACCCTCCGTCGATGCGCATGGCATGGGGGAGGTCTTCATCGAGCAGTGGATTGACAAAGGGCTGTACGTGTATGTGTACATGGCGTATACACGAGCATGTACGTGGACATGCTGACTGCGGAGGTGTGTATGGAACCAGTGTCAAATGCAAATGATTCAAGTTTCAAACAACTGTAGTGGGTTCACTTGAGAGACACACACATTCTGGAGGTAACACGTTTATTTTACGATCACAACGGGGTAACTACATAACCAGTTACCACAACGGGATAACTACATAACCGGTAACCACCACGGGGTAACTATATAAACGGGTCAGGTCACGTCGGCACACTGCCTGACCCACGATGCCGAGCACGAAGACCGGAGACCGAGGAGAAGACGTAGCACGGCGGGTTCCATTCCAGCGGACAGCCCCTATGGAACCCCGGGACCTCCCTTTTATGCCCCCCCTGCCCCCCCCCCCCCCCCAGCGTGGCCTGGCTCCGGCCTCGGCCACGCCCCCTTCCGGAACTTCCCAGAAGATTCTGGACCATACACCACGTGTCCCTTCTGTCACCTTTGGTCCACATCCTTACCCTGTCCTATCACGTCCCTTGCCAGTCAACCGGGCTACGACTTTCTCAAATGCCCCCTACTCTGCCAGCCCCTAGAACCATGCTCCCCTCGAGACCTCTTCCATGACATCGTGTACTCTACACACGCAACTCCTCTCTCTGTCGGTAGATGGCGCTAGCCGCCGTCGTGACCCATTATATGTCACTACACAACACGCAGCAAACATGTGTCAAAGGTGCAGCCTCCGTGCTTATGCAACATCCACCAGCATTTCCTGCAGAAGCGCAACGTGTTTGTGTCGTCACTTACATATTTGGGTAAATGCGTCACAATGCAGTATTGCATACGTACGTGTATGTTCGTATGCAGTGGGGAGCGGTGGCGCAGTGGTTAGGGCACTGTGCTCCGAGCCCGGCGACCCGAGTTCGATCCCTGCTCGCGACCAATAACAGTGCCGAATGTTTGCACCGGTCCTGGTCCTCCCCTAGGTTGACTCCGCTTTTCAATGAGTACCTGGTGTGGTGTGTAAACATCGGCACTTCATAGGTGCTCTCTAACAGCACTTTCCCCAACAGACTGTCGTTTGTATGCAGGGCTACTTGATTGTAATGTAAACACGTGAACACGCAACGTCCGACTGAGACACACTCTTCAATGCGCACACGACGATGACGTACCCATGCCCATGCATTTGTGTACATTGTGACGAAAACGCAGACTACAATGCATCTTGCTAGCTGTAAATAGTAACACCAAAAACGCCCGTTTCTGTACATGTTTTGCTGCCAGGTCAAAGCTTGCACTTGGAATTTTATGTACGAGTGCAATTTGTACTTCCATGCTTTATTCATATGTATGTTATTTATGTTAAAGGGACTTGCTTAACTCTCATCTATCTGACTCTAGTATCCTTTGTCGCATTTTCTGTTGAAGAGGAGCTTCGTAGATTGCCATGTCCCCCCAATACGTGTTTTGATTCTGATGCGTGTTGTTCGTAGTGCACTGTCACCATGTAAACGAGATAGACGCAACTGGATTGTACAGAGTAGTCATCGCCCACCTGCTGCGAAAACTTGGCAAGATCCTCCTGCACAACATGAATATGCCTCATTAGTGAGGTTTTCCTGGGTATCAATAATTTAAAAAATCAACTGTAGGCAATGTATGACGAAGGCATACATACAAACCCGGCAGGTATACACACTAATCAATAATCACATCATGTAGTGCAGTATGTAGTAGACATGAATGCATGGTGTACACACCGTGCATTAAGTCTGTGGGTGCGCGTGTTGTTAGCGAGCACCACTTAAAACCACCAACCACCCGCCCCGCACACGTATCAGGGTTGTTAGATCATAAGCGAAGTGATTACGGGTTCGAACTGGTAACCAATTTCAGCTATTGTGTTTATAGCGAACCCACCGATTTAAGAGATGTACATTGTTGTCTCGGATGAATACGACCCAGCGACCTGTGGTTTGCAAGTCCAATGCACTCACCATCATAGACCACGA